AATATAATATAATATAATATAATATATAATATAATAATATATATATATAATAATATATATATATAATAATATATATATATATAATATAATAATATATATATATATATATAATAATATAATAATAATATATATATATATATATATATATATATATATATATATATATATATATATATATATATATATATATATATATATATATATATATATATATACAACATTTTAGTCATTCTTGACCCTTCTGTTGAAGCTCCACAGGTATTTTAGTCATTCTTGACCCTTCTGTTGAAGCTCCACAGGTATCTGTGATGATGGTGCTGCACTCCCTCCTGAAAGCGAGTCCTTCTGGTGCATTTATCCACTGGCCTATCTTTATCACGTTTCCAATTCCATACTGGAAACCTCATCAAGAATCTTATAGAAGTTTTGACTCCAGTTCTCTGCATTTGCCACTTTGTTCATGATCTTACTTCTTGGAGGAACAGGTATTATGAGAAGACGATCTAGAAAACTTGTATATTTATGTATAATTAGAGAGTGCTCAATTAATGAACGTACATGTATATGTATGTATATTTTGGGTAACCTGAAAATATTGTGTTTGCAAATGTACTGTAAAGCAAGTACAATATCCCTTGGCTGACAACTTTCTGCCTCCCCAAATGTTTTTTAAAGAGGATTGCTGTGTTGGTGTGCAGTCAAAATAGGGTTATCATCATCATCTAGGAGGCTATCTAAACACCATCTTTGTGTAAACTCAACATTTCTAGGTTAACTACATAGAGAATAATACATGGGTGTGCGGAAATACCAGATTTATTTGAGTGTTGAACATGATATACTGTACACAAGCACCCATGTATTTTCTGTTTACTATATAAAGAACGGTCTTTGAACGGTCTTTGTCTTTTGGTAATTTTTACAGAAAAACGATAATTGAAAAGCGGTAATAAATTTCACATGTGAGATTATCATAAATAATATCACATGTGAGATTATCACTTTTATCAGTGCTCGAAATCTGTATAAAGCAATATACTTTATATAATAAATGTATATATTAGACATGTTAAGCTGAAGTATACAAAGCTGCATGTAATCTGCATTTATATTTATTTCAGCAATCTTACCGACCTCTCTCGGGTTTTAATAGCCATTCAATAACATGGTTGTTGACAGTAAACATAGGACAGCATTGAGGTGTCCAATTTCCAGCACACGATACTGCTTTGCCAGCATCATAGAATCTCTTTGCTGCATCCCCAAGATCTTTTGGTTTGGTGGGGTCATCAGCGATGCAACCCAATGTAGTGCATGTTGCAACACGGCCAATCACCTGTTAGTTAGTTTTGTAATTAGAAAATATGGTACATAATCCTTTGTTGAATTTCATATGACCAGCATTGTATTTATGCTTTCATGTACAGTGACTTAGGCATGCTCACTAACATAGGAAGCAATTTTGTATTGGGGGGCTGATAAGTCAGGGGCGATTATTACATGTAGCAGTATTTTCCGCTCAAACATTACAGATTATCGCTAATTTACAAATTATTGGGAGTGAAATATTACAACCAGGCTATAATTGCAACCACTAAATTATGTAAAGTTAATAAGAAATTGGATAAATAGACCATATGGAAATGACTGTGAAGTTGACGTTCACTCCTTAAAAAGTAATACATTTGTTGCATTGTAACTGGTTCCAAAACATTCTTTAATTTTACAAATAGAATTTAAAGAATTTATGCATACCTTATCTGTGAATAAAGAAAAGAATAGCTGCGGCCATCCACCAGTTAAAGCCAAACCGACTTTGGATGCTGTGGTTTTTCCACACCCAACACCGCCAACACCGACAACTATTGGACTTGCTCCAACTGCTTTTTGCCACTTGGGTGAATTGGAAAGAAGAAAATTGGTGAGTGTAATGTACATTTATAAAATAGTCGAATTCATAGTAGAAGATGAATTTCATCTGATAGATTTCAGGAAAATCATCTGATAGATTTCCATCTGATATACTGTAAATCGGAAAGTTTTTATTAGCTTTTTTCAAAATTGTGGGTTATTCAAAACACATGCTGTAAGCTTCATGCAGACCATATCAGATGTTGGGATCTGAGGTGACTGTGTTACTTGCGAGTGACTGGAGCTGACTGTAAACCTCAGAAGTCTTTTGCACTCTATACTTAGCAGAGAATTTCAATTTTTCCCAGTATCTTTTTGCAATATTTACCAACCAGATTTAACATATAGGTTTTTATTTTCTATAACATTCTCCTTTCTATTTTCATGCTTTGTGTGGTTTGACTATTTTCTGTTCTGTGGCAAAGTTTTTTTCTCAAATATCAAGCGGTCAATCTCAGAGTTACATTTCCTATTGCTAAAATTGACTTTCTCAGGCCCAATTTCCGAAAAGGGTCTGTTTCCCCATCGCAACTCACAAGCTACCCGGTCCATGTATGTGGACCGGGTAGTTTGCTAAATGCAAATTATTTTTGAAAACTATACGGGGATGGCATGTTCACCAAAAATTTCACCTTTTAATAGCAATGAACAATTAACCTTTCTCTCATGGTAGGGGTCATATGTGCCATTTGGTGGGAACTCTCTTCCCACTTCAGAGAATTTAGAACAATTTCAGAGAATTTGTATATTATCAACTTGGGTGGTTTAGCCCAGTGTAATAAAGGCTAATATTGGTTAATATGAATTTCTGACCAAACCTTACTTCTTCATAATTAGCTGTTATGCAAGCCATTGATACAATGCTGAAAACTGATAAAAAAATTTGATTCCGTCCCCAGGTCTTGCTTGTTCAATAGCAGCATCGTCAGCACTGATGATAACACCAAGGTTTTCTACGTAGGTGGACATATCAAAATCGTTGGAACAAGCAGTAGCGAGGTGTCCTCGCAGGAAATGACACATGACATCAAAACCTTTGTTGGAGAGAGGCAGCGATACTGTTGCTTTGTATTCAGCCTTCGCTATGTCAACCCCATTGCCGTCAATTAGATGACTCAACCAGACCAATCCAAATGGTGTTATGTCCGTGACGATCTCTCTATTTTCATCGATTGCAATCTTCTCGTCGAGTACCCATAACGGGCGTCCATTTCCCCCGATATTTTCCCCCACCACTTTTACTGCTTTCATAACCTCATCATCATCCAACCCGTCTTCTAGTGTGCAGAGCAGGCTTTTCATTGTGGACGTCGAGAGGTTAATATAATTTGTTTTGAAACCGCCGCTACCACATGAACCTCTGTAATTTATGGCATCAGTGAAGTTCTGTCGGTTCTTTAACTTTTTGGCATGAGCGGGATAGTAAAACTCTCTAAAAAAGATCGCAGTCCTTAATTGGTATTTTTCAATTTTAAAAACAGCAATTAAATTATCATAAGTTTCCTGACAGCCTTTTTAATGCAATACATTTTTTGCAGTATGAACATAGTAAGTCAAATTTACCGTAGCGTAGGGTTTTTATAAAAATATGTTTAATATAAAAAAAAAAAGTTTAATATAAATATATGTTTAAATAAAAAAAAGTATAAAGAAAACACAAACAGTTCTTCTTGAAAATTTATTGTACAGTATATATCCCGCCTACAAGCATCAATATTTGAGAGTTGTAAGTTTCAGTCGCCTGAATTACGTTAACTTAGATTCTTGCACTTGACTTGGTGGAATTAATATTAGGATGTTAGGGTTTGTAATCCAGGTGAGAATAATATACATTTTAAGACCTAACCAGGAACGACTGCGAAAAATGCGGCACAAGGTCCTCTGGTAGGAATTGAACCTACGGCCCTGCGATTCCGGAGCAGCGCTCTAGAAAGGCCTGGTTTCCATCATAAATCGTAATTATTGCAATAGTCGCGTCGTCACGACTCTTACGATTTAATGGAAACGTGATTGGAAGCGATGGTTACGATGATAGCGATACGCGCTACTGTTTTACGTTGTTCTCCAGTTCGAATTAGACTAGGGTCTGCTGCCCTGGGAACAGGTAGGAACATGATGCGGTTTGTCCACACACTTTTGTTCCTTTATTATTGATTAACATTTTGGTCAAGTTTGGGACCAATCGGATAAAACGCTCTGTCGTTATTAACTTTTGTCGAGGAGATTGGGTAATTTTGCTTTCTCTTCAAATGACGATTTAAGATTTCACGAGGTTTGCACTCTTTTCTGTCATTTTCTCCGCCCCCAATGTTAATCCACTTGTGACCTTGTGCAGTTAACCAATCACAAACAACCAAACTTTAATATTTTTTGGCAAGGTGTTTATCAGATTTATCTTTATAGAATTATATATAGTCTATAGACTACAAAACGCAAACACAGTAGAAAAGTCACCGAAGCCGACATCTCACATAGCTTGAACTTCGAGAGATTCTGTAAATACGATATTATAAGCTTTCTAATGTTGTCGCAATGATATATGCCTCCGAGCAATAACAAACGGCTTATACTTTAGTGAATTGCACATCTTGACATTTGATGCCAGCAAAGTTCATTCATAATTTAAAACACGTACAGGCATATATTGGAAACTGTAGAGAGCCTCCTTAACCGTGGTCAAAAATTTGTCTAAAAGCTAGCTAGCTGCTATCCCTACCAGACTTCGACGCGACATAATTCAATATGTCGGCTAACGTGAAGGCGCACGTGTATTTTTTTAGTTCAAATATTTTGTACTGCCAGTAAACGTAACAGGATAAAGAAAATGCCAGGTATTTAATATATACTTTAATTCATATTCGTCGGTCAAACATATGCTGGTATAAAGTAATTTAATACCAATAAAATGGTTGTGTGAGGCAGTGAGCATCCGGACCTCCGGTTACCAGTGGCAATTATAAATTTATACTAGAAAATACATGCATGCAGCAACCCCTCGCCTTTCTTATCAGATGAAGTTTAAAAACTCCACATAAAGTATTAAAGACCATTATAAACAAACATAAAAACACAACTGATGTGCTAGCTTTAAAATGAACCATAACATTCTCTGCAATTTCATACATAACCACTGAGCTTGCATTGAAGTAAATTATCGAGAAGAAAGAAGAAGGCTTAAAAAGAAGAAAAAAAAGGCTTAAACATTTCGCAGATATGAATAGAACCGACAACACAAAGCTATACGGCATGGAATTTTACTACCAAAATGTTTACACTTACCCAAACCGGTACAACAACGATTAAATTAACTTTTTAACAAAATTTAAAACAAAAAATTGCTGTAAAACAGCAAAATACGTCTTTTCAAAACAATTACTATGACAGAGTTTCTATTCATGCACGCGCATAACGTTGAAAACCGTCCATGACATAAACAAAATGGATGACAACTTTGCACTCCGCTATGTTTTCACATACCTGGGTATAATTAGCCGTGTGGAATTATAGTACCCTTGCACTCGAAATTTTTGCTTTTCTAATTTTCCAGTTGTGTGTCATTAAAATTTGCAGATAAAAATTTCAGACACCCAAATTGTTTTCCATTGAGCATGCATGCCAACCGTATATTGTTACCCAATGAAACTGATGATAGCCGATTTCAGCTCAGTTCAGCCACATAATAAACCGATTATTGACCTTGCTTGTTCGATCTGTACTGTGAAATATCAGACCTCTGTTTTTTGCATGGACCTCGCTCCTTCGTCGTTTGGTCCATACTAAAAAACCTTTGTCAGATATTTCACAGTACAGACCTCACGCTCGGTCAATAAGCCATTATTATTATTGTTTCAAAATAAAGCAAAAATTTAATTCATCAAATTTTATAGCAATTCAATGGGATTAAATATTTTAAAACATATCAAAGCATAGCTTGGCATAACTACATTTGACAAAGAAAAACTCCTTGTACTTTCATGAAATGGATGTATCTGTATTCAAAATATTGAACTTTATTTGACAATTATTTATAGTTTTATGCTTCTACAGTATAATAAATAATCAAGATACAACAATCAGGCTTTGCAATTAATAGCATAAAATGAAATAAAAACCTAATTAAAGTGTTTATATCATGGCAGAAGTCTCCTATGTGTGCATGCGCAAGCCAGACTGTACCCTATCTTTATGCCAATGGGTCGTTCCAGAAAAGATCCATATACTCCCCCCACGGAGGAAATTTCTGCCGTCCGGAGGGGCAGCCCGGAGGGGAGAAAAAATTCTTTCTGATAATAGTAAATGTATATTAGGACATCCGAAGGGGGTAGGGGGGTTATATTCCTATTTCCTCTGTGGGGGTGGTATGGATTTTTCTGGAATGACCCAATATAACATAGCACTGACAAGAGATTAATGCAATTTTGACTGCTAAACAACTTTAAAATTCAGCAAGGCTATATGCAGCCATCAAATATGTGTATTCACTTAAAAATTATTGAATGCCATCAAATAGAAAAGGCAGTTGGTGACCAGTTTAATTTAAAAAAATGGCAGCACACTGATGGTGATGTACAAATTAGCATCTTACACCTGAATTGTCATCAGGGATCATCAGTCGACATCGCAGGAGAGATATCAAGCTCTTTTTGGAATGCTAGTGAAGATGTTCCGCTGGAGTTATCAAAAGAAATAGAACAAGCGGCCAATAAATTCGATGGAACTAATGCTTGTCAATTTTTCAGTGCATCTTTTGCGACACTTCTTGTCGGAAATAAACCGTCTGTCCTACAAAGTTTGGAAGGAAGAGCACGCATGAAAGACTCTATAGAGAGCATGATAGTTACTATTGCTCATAAAGTTAATGATTTTAGAGATAAGAGGTAGCATGTATTTTTGGAAGACGCTCTAAGCGTTCTGACTGACTTGGGGCTTCTTTCGACGTCATTTCATTTACAAGAACAGATTGGTGACCAGTTACAAAGCAGTGTTAATTCATCAGAAGGAATCACAGAGTTAGAAAAAGCATTACACTGCTTGTTTACCAAGAGTCCAGGCATCCATGCAGTATATACATGTTCTCGTGTAGCCTTTTCAATTTTTGCCATTGATGATTGCGAAAAATGTTCGTTCACCATTATTGATACTCATAGTATTCCTGAATGTTTAGGAGGGGAAAACGTTGGCATTCTGTTGTTTGTAGATTTTAAAAGACAACATCTAGATCAAGCAATTAATAAAGTTATCATCTGGATTCGAGAAAGAATTACTCATGCTTCAAAAACAGCAAGTCTACAGAGTCTTATATTAATGAAGCCCAAAGAATCGATGCCTAAGGATATTTCAGCGGAATACTTTTTATGTGATTCTGACGACGACATGCTGGTAGTCAGTATGGGATAAGTTTCTACAATCTCAGGCAAACACGGACCTTAACAAACAAATTAGCTACGATAATTATGTCTTACCACAACAACTTTGGTCACTTAATAAAAAAGATGAGATTTTATGGAGAGGCTTTCTGACATCATTCGGATATTCTACATTTAAACCCTTTCAGCTAACGGCTATACAGGCAATCCAAGAAGGGTGTGATGTCATTGTAATCCAGCCAACAGGATCGGGGAAAAGTATTTGCTTCCAAATTCCTGCACTGATAGATGACAACAAAATGTCAATAATTATATGTCCAACAATATCACTAATTCATAGTCAGGTAGCTGGCTTACGACAGAAAGGAATTGACACTATTGCATTTGGACGGTGTGCGGGAGAAAATACTGAAATAAATAATAATAGAGTATTAGGACTCGATGAAGCTGGAACACCATCATCCTTGGCTTATACAACACCAGAACATTTTTCTAAAGTAATGACCTGACTTGAATCAAGAAAAGAAAACATTAAAATGATTGTCTTTGATGAAGTACACAAAGTTTTTGACAGGCAAAAATGTTTTAGAGAAGCATATAACTCTCTTGAAAATGTGAAAAAGCAGTTTCCTGGAATACCTATTATGGCATTGACAGCTACGCTAGGAAACGCAAGTATCGATAAGTTGTGCAAGGATTATCTAAATTTACCAGTCCTGATAAAAGGAAGCATAAATCACAACAATATTAAGCTAAATATCGGAAATTACCAGGTGCAGAGAAAGAAAAAAAAGGCAAATAACGACGATGGCGTGATTGGAACTTGGGATTCATTGTCAGATAGCCTGATCAGGCATATTGGAGACAGTTATGCAATTGTGTTTATGGACTTTGCAAATGAGGTAAAGGATTTTTCTTTGTGTCTAAAAAAGAAAAGTGACATAGAAATTATGTCTTTTTACGGTAAAGGGATGAGAGAAACAGAAAAGGCAAAAGTAGTTCAAGATTTCAACGATCAAAAATTTCAGGTACTTTGTGCAACTGAATCATATGAAGTTGGCGTGCATAATCCACGTGTAGACTTCGTAGTACGTATAGGATGCATGAGCAATATGAACGTTTTGTTGCAAGAATTCGGCAGAGCAGGTAGAGGTGAAGAAAATATTGCAGTTGGTCTGTTACTTGTTAACAAGCACAAAGACGATCAGCGACTGGGATATTGGTTAAAAGGATGTGATACAGCCGACAGAAATAGAATAACGAATGACTATATGGCTTGTTGGAAATGGATATATTCAATATATGTCGGCAATTGCCTGCGCGATGGCGTCTTAAAGTACTATGAGGAAGACGTAATATGCCCTCTGGTGGAAGCAGATGATTGCTGTTCTTCATGTGAGCTTGGTTTAGAGAAAGATTTTGACATTCAACATGCCTTAATTCTACTTTTCAAGACCATTAACGAACTTGAGGATGTACTGATGAAAAAAAACCGAAGGAGTGTCAGCAACAAAGATGATATCTTGGTTGCGAGGTGCAAAACAGGATTGGTTGGCATCTGAAGCTGTACAAGACGCCATAGATAAATCAAGTACATACTCGAAAGGTCGCGAGATTGCGGGACATATTTGGACGAAGAATGAGTGGGAAACTGTTTTGCGTCAAAGCGTAAACTTAGGATATGTGGACATATGTTTTCATACGTTTGATTTGAAAAGCAAAGGAAAATTGATCACAAGAACATATAGAAATTATCGACTGTCTGATGAAGGTCACTCTTCTTGAAAATCTGCTTCCAGTTTTGGTGTCTTCCCCCTCTAAGAATGTATTTGGATCTGATAGCCAGGGGATTGAAGTTATAAAGAAAAGAAAGTGAACAGGAAGAGGTTGTCATTATCTTCCAAAAATTAAAAAGATGTTACAGGAAAGTAAGTCATGGAGATCAATAGAAAACAAAGATGAGTACGAGTATCCCGGATTCTATGAAATAGAAATGATGTATCATACCCCTGACTATAAAGCTAAACCATTTGCTGTGAAGAACAGAGTACACTATATGTATGACGACATTCAGCTTTCGAGATCATCTACTCAAACCCAGTTACATGAAGTAACAATAGACGGCGTGATTACTAAACTTCACATTAGACGCTCGGCTTGTGAAGGTGTTAAAGTATGTTCGGGAAATGAGTGTAAAAGTTACACAGTGTCAAACCGACAGAGGATCAATAGATGTCATATCCATAAAAACACTACACCCCTTAAACAGACTGGGCATTGTCCAGTACAATTCGTTTATGTACGGCGAGCCGAAGAGGATGGAAGAAGATGGATAGGAGTTGTTAACGAACATAACCACGATAAACCTGTTCCTCACAAAATATCAACAAAAATTCAAGAAGATATTCAGATGTCTGCACTAGCCAATATTAGAAGTACTGCAAAAGATCTCGCAAAAGGTTTGGGAATAGGATATGTTCCGAGCGAGAAAAGTATTGCAGCAGTAAACATTGATAGAATTAGGCGAGAAAGAAGGCTGGGTATTGGAAGCATCTTGCATCAAGGGGGGAAGTCAAATGCTAATGCATTGGCCACTATTGTTGATTTCCCTAACATAAGAAATAAAGCTGAAAGAAGCCAAGACATGGAAGACAAATCATTTTCAATGAAAGTGAATGAATTGATGGGAAATTATCAAATGGAAGGAGCTGAATACATCTTTACTTCAACATACTAACATGCTTTCTTTATGGCACCATATCAAGCAGAACAACTTGCAAATGCTTCGTACATTTTTGCGGATATAACCTACACCGGTAATGATACATTTCCTTACCTTTTAAATATAGTTTCACTAAATGAAAAAACCTTATTGTATAACGCTGCAGCTAGAGTCCTTTGTAACAAGCAAGACAGTGTAGCGTATGCAAAAGCTTTCAGTGAGATATTCTCTTTTGTAACCAAATGTATCCAGACTTTGGATATGGCAATAGTTTGGATGTGATTTTAGTGGACTTTGATGATGCTGAAGCAAACGGCCTAAAGGATGTTATAGGTAAAGAGAAAGCGGAAAAAATTCTAAGAGGATGCCAGGTCCACTGGACACGGTCGTGTCAAAGAGTGGCGAAATTAGTTACGAAAACTAGAGAAGAACAGAATCTATTTCTTTATCTTGGCAACCAGATCCTGCGTCGAACGAAGAAAGAAAATGTAAAGAAACTTTTTGACATCCTTTCAGGTTCATGTGATATATTGGAAGCCAATAACTTCGTTGAAGGCTCTCAAATTGAATTATTTGAGTGTACTGACTCGCAATGCTGGAAAAAACTTAATAACTGGACGGAATGGTGGTGTAGACCAAATCACTTGCAAATGTTCACGAAAGCGTTCACTAAGCTAGAAGGCAATGAATGGGAAAACGCTCCCAGCACAACAAACCCAGTGGAGTCTATAAACAGGCAGTCCATACACGAAAAAGGAAGTAGCTTATATGCGTTACTCGAAAATATTTATTTAGAGGACAGAACACATGCCGCCAAATTATCAGCCATTGGTACAAATGTCACTCTTTCCTATTCTGGAGGCGAGGAAGCCCGCAGGAAGAATCGAAATTCGCGGAAAAGAAAACGTTCCAGTTTGACACTAAATAAAGATGACAATGCACCTCCAGACAAGCGGAAAAACATATATAGTAGTGTTTCGACGAAGCAAAATGGCAATAAACGATCGAACCCACAAGCCACAAATCTCAAGGGCAGAAATCTCATCGGATCAAAGGTTAAAGTAGAGTATCAAGAATTAAGTTCGGTTGGGAAGCAAATTAACTATTTGGGATGGTTTGAAGGCAAAGTTACAGCTTACAACAGGAACAATTATTCAATTTCATGAACAAGAGATCAATGGAGAAAAAATCCCATCCTGGAGCGATTGGTTGGACAACGTTTATACAGACGATGTTGTTATACTTTGACACTAATACAGTGCCGTTGGAGGCAAAGTATTAGCCATTTCCTAATCAAGCAGAGGACTGGGTCTAGTCGTTTGTTTGGAGGGACAAAAAATAAACAATATGCTGAATATGCCATCTAGGAAGTTTTCCTACATTCCTAAAGTTATTTGTGCAGCCTGAAACGCAACAATTATAATAAGGCATCTTTCAATATATATTTAGATCGCTCACTATAACCTATTTTCCCTCCAAACATCAACTAGTCCCAGTCCTCTGCTCGATTGGGAAATGCCTGATTCGGCGGGGGTGGGGGCGTTCAACTAAGGAGAGTTTGTGGGGGAGTGCAACTGGTGAAAAATTGTGACTTTCCGAAGGCTCAGACGAGCATTTTCCATGTTTCCTAAGATGATTTAAAAATTTTTTTATCAAAGTTCTGAAGTTCTTTAATGCACTTTATCACTTTTTACAATAATCCCCCCATGTGGGAAAATACGATTGATGAATCACAATATGCATTCTCCCTTCAGAAGGCCCTGCTCACTCGATTAGACCTTAAAAAGTCCTATTATAAAGAAAATAGAGAAATTCAAATATTAACATGTTGTATTCTTTAGGTTGTTGGTAAAAACAGCACACGTTATACTTTTATCTGTACAAAGTGTCGTTTGCGCGCCACTGCGGATTAGTCGCATTCATGATTTAGCTATTTCGGCATAAGCAATTTTACTGTAATAAAAACAAGACCAAGTGATTATACTGTTTAATCGCATTATTGTATATTTTGCTATACTAATAGATACTTCTTAAATTTGCTGGCAGCCACTTTTGAGTGTGGGGGAGGGGGTCTTATTGGAAGGGAAGGGCTTAAAAGAGAGGGAGGCTTATTTATTTCTCCACAAAATCGTATGATAATTTTGTTCAAGCACAATCAGTGGCGGAAACTTTGCGAAATTTGGGGGGGGTGGGCGAGTGCCAAAGGCACGAGTTTTTTAGGGGGGTCTGGATTTTAAAATTTGGACCCCTGAAATGGCATTTGCAGCATTCTGAGAGCGCATTTTGTAAGAAATTTCAGGTTTTCAAAACATTAAGTTAATGGTGAATTTTGGTTTAAATCATGTGGTAAACATAAAAAACCGGTAATCTGAACTTGCAGTATGTAATAAATATCTAAACCAGAGAAGTGAAAGAACACCTGAAAATTACTACCTATAGAATAGATACTGTATAGTCCGTAGTAAATTTGATACAATTAATTGCTATTGTTTTATGAACACTCGGGAAAATACTCTATATTATATATGCATGTATATCATAAATTTAAGAGCCTATATACTGCCGTAACTGGACACGATTAAGGTTACACATCATTAGAAGCTACTGTTTTAGCCAAAATTCACCACCTTTTAAACATTGTGGTCAAATTTGGGACGAATCGGATAAAACGCTCTATAGTTAATTTAAACTCTTTTTTGTCGAGGAGATTGGGTAATTTTGCTTTGTCTTCAAACGACCATATAAGATTTGGCGATTTCTGTCATTTTATCCGCCCCCAATGTTAATCCACTTGTGGCCAAACCACAAAATGTGAACTTTGCTGGTGTCAAATATCAAGGTGTGGGATTCACTAAAGTATAAGTTGTTGTTCGGAGGCATATATCATTGCGACAACATTAGAGAGCTTATAATATAGTATTTACAGAATCTCTCAAAGTTCAAGCTATGCGCGATGTTGGCTTCGGTGACTTTTCTACTGCGTTTGCGTTTTGGTTTAGACCGTTCCTTACTAATTGTATTTAATCGCAAGAGGTCAGACGGTCAAAAATCCCGAATCGTACAGTTTAAGTAAAGACTTGTAGCGCAGCTAGCGCTTAAAACTAATTTCATCTTTAGCTTGTTTTTATTAAAACTTACCATTTCGTTTCCTTATATTGTGCTTTCATTTTTCAAAATGAATTATGAAATCTAGCTAAAATATAATTTTAGTAAAATTTTTGGGGGGGGCGATCGCCCCCCCTCGCCCCCCCTAGTTTCCGCCACTGAGTCTGGGGCACTTGGTTTTCAAAAATATTTTGGGGAGCATTGTCTCCTTTACAGCTGCTCTTTGTGTCGAGGATTCTCCCCATGAAGAGTTGCTCATTTGAGGACAACATTCCATTCCTTTTGTCTCATGTATCAATATCACAAAAGTTC